TTCATCAAGAAGAATTACATGGGGCTAATATCGAAGGGGGAAATCGTCAGCTTCCAACCTGAGACAAAACATCCATCACTCAATGCTTGGGTCATTGGGATGTCTGATGAGCCTTAGATTCATGGTAACAACACCGGCATTTGTGAACCTCCAGGTGCGAACAAAAACTACGAGGTTAAGGCAAACAAGTACCATGTTCTGCCTATGGAAAATACACTTGATCTACACAATTTCGATATGCTGCGCAAGATAAATGGAATATCTGAAGATGTATTCATGCTGCGAATCTTTCCCTTCTCACTTTGGGATATATCACACTTACGGTAGAAGAATATACTCCAAGTTTCTAATACAATTTTGCTGAATGCAAGCGAACCTTATTGTCTAAGTTCTTCTCTACATCAAGAACTGCAAGGAGAAGAAATTATATCTCCAAGTTCTAACATAAAAGATTAGAGAGCTTTGGTTAAACTTTGTAGATACTCAAGGGCTACATTATGAAATGTCTTCATCATAGAGTAAGAAATGAGATTTTGTTGAACACCCTTTACAGAGGAATCTTGCTTAAGTTCAGGAGTATTCTAAACACAGCAAGCAACATGCATTTTTTGGGTCAATCTGAATACAAAGGGATACAATTCGTAGACACCTGGCTCGAAAGGACTCTATTTATTTTGAATATTATGACTGATTGTACCAAGGAACACAAGATGTAACCACAAAATAGAAGCTGAGAGCTTAACATGATCAAATCAACGTGCTTTTCTTAGATATTCATAAACATGTTAGCTTTGTGGGTGAGTTTGAGCATCAGCAATGCTATAAATAATCTTCGGAGGTTAATAATGATAAAGAGGGTTAGGAAGAGGTTAATTATTTTAGTAGACAAGAATACAACAACAATTACTATGAGAAGGACCAAGCCTGCCAATTAAGCAACCAATGAAACTGATCACTCACGGTACATGAAAACTTCCGGAGCTAACCTCAGTACCAAGAAAACTACTAACCAAAGAAATCTTAATAAAAATTAACGAGGAGACTTTCAACCTAAACCCAAAACTACCCATCCGGTTTCTATAATTATAAAGGAAACCCACCAAACCAAATATAAGGAAGCTCTTCAAACCCTCCACCCAATAAAGTAGCACTGGTCTTCTTCTTAAACAACTCTTGGATGCAAGTGCCCACCAAAAAAACACTAAAATGAAAGAGAACTGGGTCTAAGCTCAAGAAAATTCCTACCAAGATTGATGATATTTTCAATGATCTCAAAAAAAAAATTTCTCCAACCGTGCATCTGAATTCAAAGCTTTGGAAACTTAGTTTGCTTCCATAAACTAAAACCATAAGGAAATAATACACTGAATCAATCTTAGAAGTGGTATAGAGATAACATCAATATATCTCATTAAGTATAATGAGGATCAAGAAAGGGAAGTCATCATTAATCTTGAAAATGATTTTGTGATTGTTAATAGGATAAAGAACCAAGAATGTTAGAGAAAATTTTGGAAGCCAAAATAAAAGGGGAAGTTGATGAAGATAAGAAGGGTCCAAACAATAACTAGGTTGCTACTTCTTAAAAAGAAGCCTCATATGTGCCCCTCTTTATGAACTTAAGCTACCATTTCTAAGAAGATTCAAGAAACAGCTCATAGAGAAATATAAAGCACTCTTTGAGATGTATCTTACTGCTACAAGAGTTTAATATTGAGATCATAGACAAGCTCATGGTTGAGAATGTAGTTGCTGGTCAATTTTCAAGGCTGATGATAGAAGATGTAATCCTCATTGACGGAAGATTACACAAAGAGCGGATTATGTCCATTTGAACGATATAGTAGTTTTTGAATATGGTAAGAAACTTGAGGAATTTAAGGCAACGGATGAGAAAGAACCTTGGTATGTGTACTACTTACCTTGTGGAAAGGAGTCATTGAAGCTTTAGGGTTACAACATTAAGAAGTTCTTTAAAGAGTTCAAGAGGTACTTCACGGATGAGTCATACATGTACACTTTATACAAGGATCAGCTCTACAGAAGAGTATTGGCTGAAGAATAAGTTTAAAAGAATCCTTATGCATTGTAATGGCTCATCTATGGAGGTTACTTCGCTACATTCAAGATGGTTACAAAGATTTTATAAGCTGGGGTTTGATGGCCTCACATGTTCAGAGATATTCATGAGTTTCTCTCAAGGTGTGACTCATGCCAAAAAACATGAAACATCACCAAAAGGAATGAGATGGCTCAAAACCTTATTTTAGAAGTAGAAGTTTTGGATATATGGGAAATATAATTCATGGGACCATTTCCATCCTTTTATGCCAAAAACTACATCTTGGTAAACTGTACACTATGTCTCCAAGGTTTGGAGTACCAAGTATGGTGATAAATGATATACAAACTGATGTAGTTCTTGCTACGATAACATGGTGATCCTATTTAGTCATAATTTCTAATATCAAAGTCTTCTTGTGATCGTTAAGAACACCTATGTTCTAGCTATTGCAAGGATGAATAACACCAAATCTCTTTATATTGTAAATCAAAAGTAATGTGTCTCTTAAAAATCCAAGAGATCATATATATAACGATATGAAAAGTCCTAAGTCCTTAGGGATTATGATCTAACATCTTATCTATAAGCATTATTCCTAAGCTTTTTGAATAAAAGACATTAACACTTCAAGTAAATAATGATTGACAAAATAGGAAGGTTAAAACCAAAACCTAAGGAAAACGGGAGGTTTTCCACGCTGCATCAGGTCACCCGAGATAAAGAAAGATTCAACATCGAATCTTCAGGTGCATCATGAGGAACATAAGGAACATGCGTTTTATGTTAAACACGTCTGAACACCGAACATTGGATGGTAGCTGCATCCGGTAAGCATTTGCATTCATTTTTTCTATCACCTCCAAGGGTCCTATCTTGCGGGATTTCAGCCTATTATAAGCTTCTGGCAAAAATCATTCCTTAGTCAGTACTGCCAACACGAAGTCACCAACCTTAATTTATAAATCCTGCTTGTGATGATCAGCTGCAACTTTGTATTTTTTCGAAGAAACTTGCAAGTTGTCGTGAACTTGTCTATGTAGATGAGATAAAGACCCAACCAGCTATGCTTCTTGCACATTCTCACGACTCAGGTCCAGAGAAAGGCCAAGGTCCACTGATATAGGCGGAACCAGTCCATATACAATGCGAAACTGAGAAGAACTCATACTCCAATTGATGGCATGATTATGAGAAAATTCTGCCTTACACAAAATCATATCCCAAGTCTTGATATTATCACCCATCAGATAACCGATTGATAACTTTCGTTTGGCTATCGAACTGAGGATGATATGATGAACTCATATCCAGGCTAGTGCACAATAGTCTCCATATCAAACACCAAAAGTGTCTAAGAAATCACGAGTCTCGATTAGACACAATTGTAAAAGGGAGACCATGAAGTCGATAGATGTAACAGAAGAAAAGCTTAGCCACTGAAGAGCATATGTGGTCTTTTTACAAGGCAAAAAATATGCCATCTTGGAAAAACGATCCACAAAAACAAAGATCGAGTCATTACCACGTTGTGTACGAGGGAACTCAAGGAAAAAATCCATACTTGTATTGATCCATGGTTGCGTAGGAATGGGTAAAGGCAAATAAAGACCACTATTTGATGCATGTTCGTTTGATTCTGACACATGGTACACCTCTCAACAAGCCGAATAACATCATGCTGAAGTGCTGGCCAGAAATATGACGATGTCACGAGTTCCTCTCACTGCCCATATGTATTTCTTCATGGAGCTCTTTGACAAGCTGAAGACGCAGGCTGCAAGCCAGAACAAAAAGGCGATTGTCGCAACAAAAAACATTCGTGCAACACATACTCCGAGCTTTGTCTCAGCTGTAAATCACGCCACATAGAACCAAAGAACGGATCGTCGAGGTACAACTCCGAAAAAGAAGCGAAACAAGAGTCGAGACGCGCATTGTTACAAGAAGAGAGTGTCGTCGACTAAGGGAATCTGCTACTTTGTTCATCTTGCTGAATTGATGTTTTATAGCAAAAGTAAACTGTTGTAAGTAAGCGATTCAAGAAGCATGTCAGGCAAATATTTTATCTTGACTTCCCAAATGCTTCAAAGCATCATGATCCGTATAGAGAATGAATTCTTGGTCAAATATGTAGTGTCTCCAATGTTTTATGGCTTGGATAATTGCATAAAACTTAACATCGTATGTTATTTGTCTTACTCGAGGCCCTGCTATTTTTTCAAAGATTTTTTTTGTATTTTTCTTATCGCATGCTGAAGTTTCTCACGATTACCTCTTTAGCCCTATTTGTTGCTGCTTAAATGTTTTACATAGTTTACTTTTTCTCTCCATCAACCATCATAATTACTTGGACAAGTGGAGTCATCAGCTATAGAGTTGTATAAACATTCTTCTAAAAGTTTGCTTGCATAAGATATTGACTAAGTTTATTTGCTCCAACTTCTTGGAGCAAATTAGACTCAATTCATTCACTTGAATTGACCAACTGCTAAAGCTTATGTTGTTTTTAAAATATTCATTATTGGTTTATGAAAAGGAATGAGAAACTTAATTCAACTAGATTAGTGCAATAGTTTATCTCTATATACGAGAAGCGCATGTGTTCACTTCCCTCTACCAAACTATTCCCTCAACCAAGCTAATCATAAGGAATAGAGAGAGACGTGTTTGATCTTTGTTCTAAGATTATATATAGTGAATTACCTCTTACAAGGTTTGAGATGGTGTATTAGTGAGTTTATGTATTTAATTCTAGTTCTAGATCAAACTAAATTACCATCAAAGAACAACAAATTTCTTGACAATCATTATAGCTCGGTTAGTGAATCCCAAGGTTTGAAACTTTGCTGAAGCTAACGAGATTTAGAACCCTGACAGTTGGTAATTGTCAAATAACTCCATTTCGAAGCATGACAAGTCTTTATTATTGTTCGCTTTGTATACATGCAAAGCCTCTTATTAAAAGATTCGAGAATGTAGACATTTAGAAACTACTCGTAAGCTGAGCAGCACTGCTAGAATAGTAATTAGTTGATGAGACAGCCTCGAATAGAACTTGTACGGACAGAGAATCATTCACGATGAAACCTTTGGCTGGATTTTGGAGATCACTCAAAGACACAAACTTCTCGAACCCATAACTTTCTCCTGTGGCGTTGAACCATGATAGAACTGCCCAAAAGCAAAATAAATTTGTTTGTATTACTTTAATTATTAATATATTAAAGCTTAACAATAGACATATAACTATATAAAAAAAGCATAAACATTACTTGGTTTTTCAAGATGTCTTGATTGTTTTTGGTCAAGAACTCGCAGCTTGGCTCGGACAGAAACCTTTTCGTAAGGTTTCAAGGTTTGGTTTCCAGTTAGTGTCAGATAAAGGGACAACGAGTTTCCTTCTCCTGTGCCATAACCGTTTGGATACACCTTAAATGCCCTGAATAGATATATAACAAGAGGTAATTAGTGAAGGATTTATTGATATACATAGGTCTGTTTTTTTTTGTTATATTTGTCATTAATGGATCACCATGTATTTCCTCCAATGGAGAATTCGTCTGATACGTAAAAATCTCTGGTCAATGTTGAGAATTTCAGAAGCTTCCACGAGTTAGGCCCATAGACCGTCTTATCGATCGACAAGACCTCCCATTTGTTAAAGAGAGGATACACTGAGATGTCTACACCAAACACGCATTGGTCATCGTCGAAAATGTACTCTCTATCTTTAGCTTTAAAGTCAACACGTCGGATGAAATTTGGATTTCCCCAAGTTGTCCTGAACTGATGGAAACGCCTGATGTCCGTATCTGCATATAATACATTTTCGTTTGATTTTCATTATTTTGGTCGTTGAGCTAAATAAAGTTCTTGATATAGCCTTATCCTAAAGTTTACTATTCTAAGATTACATACCCATAGATGTCCAGTATTGATCGAAAGTCTTGCTGTATGCCAAAAACCTGAGATCTGCATAAACCTCCCGGTTTTCGCCAACTAGACCTCTAGGATCTATTGCAACATATGCAGATATCCACGTCCCTAAGTTAGTCGTGCTCCCAAACGGTTCGATGATAAAAGTCCTATACATAAATCTCCCGATAAGCTAAAGATACACATGAAAGAATAAAAAAATAAATAATGATTTGATAATAAGTTGAGTTTTAGTTTAAAACATATACCAGTTGAATCCTCCTACACTGAAAGGACGGGTCTCGTACTTTTCTACGTTTGGAGTTTTAGTGATTAGTTCGCTGCACCCTTCGATCCGCACGCAGTAAGAGCTTGGTGGACGGTCCCGCATGAATCTTTGCTCGGCCGAGAGCTTAGCGTCCACACCATCTGCCTTAGCGACCCTTGAACCGTGAGTGTTACAAGGCACTGCGTTGGTGGATTGTTTCGTAGCTAGTGGATTTAGTGGAATGGTTGCAAAGACAGCACAAAAGAAACAAGAGAACAGCAAAACCGATCCATTCAGATTGACCTTTCTTTCTTCATTTAGAAACATTTTGGTTTAAACTTTTAGTTTTAAATATGTTTTTTCTTCTTGTTGTTGAAGAGATGTTAACATTCCTAATTTATAGTCGTGTTCATGGGAGCATGGGCGGATGGGCCTGTCCCCGTCCCTCGTTTTAATTTGTAATTCCTTCTTTCTTTATGTTAGTTTAAAATTAATTAAGTGTTTTGCATTAGTGGCACATTAGTTGAACTGTATTTTATTCTTTTTTTCTTTTTTTCTTTTTTTGGTAAAAATGTTAAATTTGTATTTTATTCTTCTTTAGCAGTTACATTTTTTTTGTCAGCCTAGATAAGTATCTGATCCGGATGAAGATTGTTAACATACAACATTGAAACATAAGATCGAGCAAAATAGGTCAAACAGAAAACCTACAGATTTAAGAAAACTTCATTATTCTCTACGTACCTCGCAGATGCCGAGAGTTGTCTCCAGATTTCAAATATTTAGAGCGACCCAATCATCTAATGTTACGTATCATTTATCTGTGAGATTGTATAAATGCCAATTTAAATCGTTCTCGTAAGCATCTTACTAGGCAAATACCTAGAAACCAAAGGATGTAGTCGTAGTAAAGTCCAGAATATACAAGAGAATTCATCTAAAGTCTAAATGAACACGAACGCCAAGGGAAATCCACATATAACACAAATGCAAGTGAAAACTCTGATCCATGAGATTTCTTAAAACAGAGCCAATGGCCCTTCGATTATTGTTTTCTTTCAATTCTGAAACTTAGAACGAAGAAGATACCCTTTCTTTAGAGTTCTCAAATTTTTCTTTAAAAAAAAAGGAACTAGGGAAAAAGGTAAACTTATTTGCAAAATTTTAGCAAAATAAAGTATAATTAAGTGGAAATATCTTGAGACTTAAGTTCTTAACAACCCTTAATACACTCCTAGGATGCTCTCTGGAACAGATGGGATAATCCTTTGCAGAAACGAATCAAAAGACTCAAGTTTCTCAAAGGCAGTGGATTGAATGGTGACACAAGAGGCTGCGGAAGGCTTCCTGATACTCCTAGATGGCTAGATCAGATATGACACATTGAAATAGACACCCTTAGGCTCTGGATATTACACACCAGAAGTTGGATATTACTCACCAACACTCTAAACTCGATAAAAGCAAGCTTAAGAGAGAAACAATGTTTTTGAATTGAAAATGTGATATCTTATTACTAAAATTCGTCCAGCATATAAAGAGAGAGTGCCTTACATGCAAGACACCTCGAAAATACAAGAGGA